CTGTCTGTCTGTCTGTCTTCCTCACTGTGTCCACAGAGCCAGGACCGGCTGGCAGGACCGGCTCACCGGGGACAGGTGGCCGCCCACGTGTCCCTGCCAGGAGTCTGTGTGGCGTGTAATGTGTGCATCTTGTAGTGTGCCGCTGTCGGCATCGGGCGCTCGGGTGAAGTGGGCTGCGTGGACGGCCAAAAACTGAACGTGTTATTAGACACAAAACCAGATGCGTAAAGTTCTCGTTAAGGATTGGTTGGAGTAGCTGGACTACAGACATGCGCCACCATGCCCGGCTAATTTTTTCTATATATATTAGTTGGCCAATTAATTTCTTTCTATTTATAGTAAATACGGGGTCTGGCTCTTGCTCAGGCTGGTCTCAAACTCCTGACCTTGAGCTATCCGCCCGCCTCTGCCTCCCAGAGTGCTTCCCTTGTCAGTCGCTTGGGCTTAGAAAGTAGCCCCAGATCCCCCTGCCTGGGCTGCGACCCTCGGGTAGAGCAAAGCACGCGTGCTCGGAGGTCCGGGGTCTGCACTCTGTCTCACCAGAGGGCTGTGTCCCTCCGTCTGAGGCCACCGTGCCCCTGCCTTGGTCCCCCTCCCACCTAACCTGTCTGCACCCCGAGTCAGGAGGGAGCCAGGCTGACGCAGAGCCCACCCCGGGCAGCTTGGCCGTGGCCTCTTTGCGGATGGGACGAGGGGACGCCACCCTGGCCCTGGGGCCGTCTCCAGGCTGAGCATGACGGTCAACGTCCCACAACCATTCCCCTGTGCGGTGTCCCCCAGCCTTGGGGGGGGTGCCTGTGCCTGCGGGTGTCCTGGAACCAATACGGGCTCACCTGCTCTGAGCCCAGCCCTGGGGCCGATAGGACGTCACCCCGCCTCGCAGAGCAGGGGCCGCTGGGGCCACCAGCGGGAGGTGGCAGTGCAGCGTGCCGAGTGCCAGGATGCTGGGATCCAGCAGGCTCTGCGGGGTCAGAGGAAGGGAGCCGGCCCAGAGCCCAGCACACGCAGGTCCGGAGCTGGCATCCGCCCAGTCCTTCAGTCCCTGCCTGAGCTCTGCGGAGAATCTGCTTGGAGCGGACGCCCAACCACCCCAGACAGCGCAAGCGCCTTTGGATAAGGTCCTTCCAAACCTCCGGAGGGAAACGGTGCTGTGGGGGTTGGGGCGAATCGTATATTTTAATTTTAATTTTTTTTTTTTTTAAAAAGATCTAGCCACTTAATGTTTGAAGGTACCGTGAAGACGATCCAATTCAGGGTTTTGAACTTGTGGGGGTTTTTTTGGCCACGAAAACCCTTGGTGTGTGAGCATCTCATGCAGAAATGTACCAAGCACAGCAGATGAGAGCGAAGTTGCTCTGTTCAGAGGAGAAACTAGAGGATCTTTCTAGAGCTTTCCTTCCCTCTCTCAACTGCAAGAGCCTTGGCATGGCCGGGGCGGAGGTGCAGGACTCCCCCCCCTCCCGGGTTCCCGCAGGGCCTGGTTGGAAGCCAGTGATCTTGACCTGTGGTTCACAAGGATGAAGGTTAGAATCATCTTTAAAAACTCCCAGAGGCCGGGCGCGGTGGCTCACGCCTGCAATCCCAGCACTCTGGGAGGCCGAGGTGGGTGGATCGCTTGAGGTCAGGAGTTCGAAACCAGCCTGAGCAAGAGCGAGACCCCGTCTCTACTTAAAAAATAGAAAGAAATTAATTGACCAACTGAAAATACATATAGAAAAAAATCAGCCAGGCACGGTGGCGCATGCCTGCAGTCCCAGCTACTCAGGAGGCTGAGGCAGGAGGATCGCTTAAACCCAGGAGTTGGAGGTTACTGTGAGCGAGGCTGACGCCACGGCATCACTCTAGCCTGGGCAACAAAGCGAGACTCTGTTTCAAAAAAATAAATAAAATAAAATAAAGACACCCTGGCAGACAGGCCATTGCCATAGACCAGGCTCGCCGGGTGGGACCGGTCCGACTCGTGTGGGTCTGTCTGCACCACTGCTGATCCGTCCGGGCGCCCAGGCTGGTGGCGGGAGTCACGGTGGCAGGCTAATGCCGTCTCCCTCCTTCCCTCTCTGTCCCTGCTCCCAACCGGGCGGCCCCGCGGCAGAACTTCCTGCGCTGCCAGAACAACAAGACCAACTACAACCTGGTGTGCGAGACGCTGCAGTTCCTGGACTGCATCTGCGGCAGCACCACCGGCGGCCTGGGGCTGCTCGGGCTGTACATCAACGAGAAGAACGTGGCCCTCATCAACCAGACCCTGGAGAGCCTCACCGAGTACTGCCAGGGCCCCTGCCACGAGAACCAGGTGCGCCGCCCGCCTTCGGGGGTGGGGGGAAAGTTTCTCATTTGGGAAATGCCGGTGGTAGAGACTCAGTCGAGAAGTCACGTGGCATGTGCTGCCAGCCCAGGGGTCAGGAAGACCGGAGGTTTCTTCTAGCGCCCAGAAAGTAGCCCGGGGTTCTTGTCACGCTTGGGGACTTTGCTGATGGCGGGCATCGGAGAGACTGTCCTTAGTCTCTGCGCGTGGCCGGGCGCGGCCTGCTTTGGTTGGCGTGTCCGACTGTAAGTTGACTTTTAGGGTTGGATAACAAAGTAGGGCTGACATTACAACCGGACGACACTGGTCTGCCGTACATACCGGGAAAAGCCAAGGTGTTTGAAGGGGTGAGACCTAGCGAGGGGGAAGAAAGTTGCCTCACGAGACAGCTCGAAGGTCAACACGGGGACGTCTGTGACACCGTGGACACTCGGGGAACAGGAAGACCAGCTAGTCTTGACTTTGGCCTCTCAAGAAGTTTGTGTTTGGAATAACATCCGTTAGTTTCTTTCTTTTTTGTTTCTTGAGACAGAGTCTCTCTCTGTCGCCCAGGCTAGAGTGAGTGCCTTGGCATCAGCCTCGCTCACAGCAACCTCAAACTCCTGGGCTTAAGCAATCCTGCTGCCTCAGCCTCCCGAGTATTTTTTGTTGTCTGGCTGATTTCTTTCTATTTATAGTAGAGATGGGGGTCTCACTCTTGCTCAGGCTGGTCTCGAACTCCTGACCTTGAGCGATCCTCCCACCTTGGCCTCCCAGAGAGCTAGGATGACAGGCATCTTTTCTTGAGTAGAGACATCACTCGAACGTGGTCTCTTGAAGATTTTGTGAGGTTTTTTTTTTGCATCGGTGCTGAGACGGGTATGATTTTTAGCTGCAAACGATAGCTTTGTCCTGGCTGGAATGGGTGGGCCAGGGCTTAAAATGGCCAGTTGTACGCCCAGTGGCCAGAGAGGATACGAGGGTCTGGGTGACTCAGGTTGCCAGGGACCTTCACACAGAAGGAAAGAACGGCTTATGGGCGACAACTCGCTGCCTATTAAAAACCTGGTGCCGGTTGTCTGAGCACGTGGGGACAGCATTTTGTCAGCTCCATTTTCCGCTCCCGGTTCCCTGATGAAGCAGATGGTGGAGTCCTAGTTAAAATGAAAAGGAACAAAAAAAAAAGAAAGAAAGGAAAGAAAAATACAACAGGCTTGGTGGGGAGAGAGGCTTTATGTGACATATTGAAGTGAATTTCCTTGTTCCCCGAGTTTGCCCTTCTGCCAGACCGAGGCCTGCTGCAGGCAGGCACAGGCCAGAGTGGCTCGGGCTGCAGTTGGGGGTGTCACCTGGGCGGGGGTGGCCGGGTGGGCGTGGGGGGAGGTGATTAATTCTGGTACTGTGTGCACGAAACAGGAAGCTTGCTTTCCAAGCTCAAGCCTTGACGCTCAAGCACAAACTACGAGAAGCGAGTGATGCAGAGAGAAGGGGACACACCTCGAAAGGGGGGGAAGGGGGCTCAGGACCCGGTTCTCAGTCCCACACCGTATTTTCCTTTAAGAGCACAAGCCAGCCGTGCCCGCACGGTGTGGATCCACGCAGCACCTGGGACTTTCCTCCTGTTTACTGTTAATTCTGAAACTAGAGATTCTCATCTGCCTTTTATTTCATTTTTTTTTTTTTTTACCACTTTCTCACGGAAAATGTGCAGCTGTCCCCTAGAGACGTTGCCGGGAGGGGCAAAGCCACGGTGTCGAAATGGCAGGTCAGCCCTGACGCCTGTCGAGTGATGGGCGTTTGTGTAACCGTCCGTGTGTGTGTGTGTCTTTGGCCAGAACTGCATCGCCACGCACGAGTCCAACGGCATCGACATCATCACAGCCCTGATTCTCAATGACATCAACCCCCTGGGGAAGAAGAGGATGGATCTTGTGCTAGAACTGAAGGCAAGTAGGAATTTGGACGCAAAAGGTGGCAGCAAGTCGCTTGTGTGTGTTGTCTCGGCTCAGGGTGGTGACGCTCAGTATTAAAGCCGGTTCTTTGAAACCGGACGAATCATCCAAGTTTGCAGGTTTTTCGCTGAAATGTGTAGCTTCAGCCTTTCCCTTCCAAAACAAAGGTCTCAGGGCAGGACAGCAGCGTTCCAACCGTTCAGGTCGCCTGGGACGAGGACTCCTCACTCACAACAGCTGAGAAACAAAAACTCCAACAGCATCCAAGCACGGAAGCCTTGCTTTTCTGAAAGGCGCACAGAGAGAAATGGGAACTCCATTTTCTCTGTGACGCTGGGTATTTTTCCCAGCCCGAGGAAAAAGGGCCAGTTGAAGAATAGTACAACCGAGCCTATCTAGGGCAAAAAAAAAATCTGTTTAATCAAGGGAACACCTTTTTCTATTCTGTTAGTGATTAAGCAGAAGGATGGTTAATAATGTTGGTTTGAAATAAGGAAAATGACACTAACCACGAATGCGCCGGCAGGCCTGTGTGAGTTTCTCTGGGCTGGGTGCAAACACAGGACGGCAGGTGGCCGATGCGGAAGCCACTGACCCTCGGGGACACCCCCCCCCCCCGTGACACTCACAGAGCTTTATGGAGTGAACGTGCTGACCTCAAGGTGCTGATAAGCCGCTGCGTTTGCAAGCCAGCCTCTTGGATATGTGAGACGCCGAGATCCCCATTCCAAACGTTGATCTCTTACACATTCCCTCCACATCATCGCCCAATATTTAAGGGGTCCCGAAGGTTCTGTCTATAAGAATCCAAAGATTCGATTCTAAGAATTGAACTTGGAACCCCATCACATGTCCAGAAGCGTGTTTTGAAACGTGTTGGTCTTCCCGAGCGCATTGCCTTTCTCCCTGCTCCCGTGCTGGGGCGTGTTGAGACCTGTCTTTGCCCGCACTTGATCGTTGTGAAGGAGTCTAGGACCACGGCGTTTAGCTGAAAACCTGATCTGTATTTATTGCAAGAAAGGGTGGGACAGGAAGACATTGGAGAGGCGTTAACAGAAACCTACAGGAGTAGCACAGTGATTTTTATTTTTTCTTTAGTATTTAGAATGGAGAGTCTAAATTAATAATTGATTTGGATGTGCAGTTTGAATGGGTTTTTTTCTGTGCAATTGTTGTTTTTTTAACTCACTTCGACAAATTGTGTTTTAGCATTGACTTGAAAATCCTCCAAGCTCATGTACCTAGCCACAATTTATCAGAAAGGACACAATCAGAATTTCATATGCTCCTGTCAGCATCTCAGTGACTTTTTTCAACTAATCCAGTGACCTATGGATTATTCTAGAAATTCCTGACCTGGAATAACACAGCAACCTGACTCACCTGCTGTGGCCCCAGTTTGGGGAGGAAAAAGACCCCTAGAAACAAAAAACAACAACTTTCTCGAGTCCTGCACACAAAGAAGCACGCAGATGATAGGCCCAGGACCTAAAATTGAGGTCAAGCCAGGAAGTGCAGGGTGTAGACAGGTGACCATGGGGAATGTAATGGGAAATCATGACGGGGCATGCATACGGCATTCCTTTGGGTCACTTTTGTAAGTTATTATCTGCTGTATTCGTTATAACATCAGGGGTCATAAGGGCTGATAGAAACATTTTAAGACATGAAGGAATTATCCTTTTTTTTTTTTCTTTTTTTTTTTTTTTTTTGAGACAGGGTCTCACTCTGTTGCCCGGGCTAGAGTGAGTGCCGTGGCGTCAGCCTTGCTCATAGCAACCTCCAACTCCTGGGCTCAAGCGATCCTCCTGCCTCAGCCTCCTGAGTAGCTGGGACTACAGGCATGCACCACCATGCCCGGCTCATTTTTTCTATATATTTTCAGTTGGTCAATTAATTTCTTTCTATTTTTAGTAGAGACGGGGTCTCGCTCTTGCTCAGGCTGGTTTCGAACTCCTGACCTCGAGCGATCCTCCCGCCTCGGCCTCCCAGAGTGCTGGGATTACAGGCGTGAGCCACCGTGCCCAGCCTGCGGAATCACCTTTATCACCTGTCCTCCCTGGCCTGAAACTCGGAACAGCAGAGTCTGTGGCCACGCCCGCCCCAAGGCATCGTGGGTCTCTAGCAGGTTCTTCCTGGCCGCCGTCGTCGGCAGGGTGGCAGTGCATCCACTGGCGCCCATGTTGAAGTCCCCACGTCTGCTGCGACTTGCCCCTGCGAACAGCAGGTGTGACACACGCCTGCACAGACACGCGCCCTCCGTGACCCGAATCGTACCCGCCACACGTGCTTCTGGGGCCGAGTGGCGCGGCTCTGCCGGGCGCAGGCAGTGGCCCGTGATGTCCGTGGCGAGCAGGGCGTGCCCGTCGCGGCTTGTGCGCCCAGGCCGGCCGCCCGGCAGCGCTGACGCGCCCTCTGCCCTGTCTCCGCGCAGAACAACGCCTCCAAGCTGCTGCTGGCCATCATGGAAAGCAGGCACGACAGCGAGAACGCCGAGCGCATCCTCTACAACATGCGGCCCAAGGAGCTGGTGAGTCGGCGCCCGCGCCCCGCGCCCGGGAGCCTCGAGCAGTACTTGGGGCCAACACAGGGTCTGCTTCCTTGGCTCGTTCTAGAAGGTTCCCCAGATCGCAAGTACAGAGAGCATCTAACTCAGCCCTTCACTGAGAAGTGGAGGATCGGATTGAGTGCGTGGTGGTTTGTCCTCCACCTTGAGCTCGAACCGCGTTCGGAAGCCGCCCGCCCCGGCCCCCTCCCCCCTCCCCCCTCCCTGTCCCCCCTTCCTCCGTCCCCCCATCCCCCGTCCTCCCATCCCCCCTCCCCGTCCCCCTTCCCTGTTCCCCCTCCCCGGGGACGGTGTGCAGAGCGGGGTCAGGGAGCCCCGCAGACCTGAGCTGAAGTCCGTAGCGCTCTGCCTGTGGTGCTGGGTCACCTTGGGCAGTCACTTGACCTCTCTGAGCCCCATTTTCCTAATGCATAAAGCGAGGATGACAGTGTGACCGGGGTGGGGGTCGGGGGCGGCTGCTTTGAAGACTGCTTTGAAGATGCCCATCAGGTCCTGGCATGGCACCTGGCACGCAGTCACCCCCCGGTGGGTCAGAGCTCCTCCCCTTCTCGTTCCTCGCTGACGGCTGGCGTTTTAGCCGTGTCCTCGTCTGGTGCTGAAAGATCTTGCGTCCCCTCTCGGGGCCAGGAGTCTGGGCAACAGGAGAGGGGTTTTTTTTTTTTTGATGCCAGTGTTCACTTCTTACAAAACAAAACAGGATCCGGTTTGCTCCCGAGGGGGTGCTGTCCACGGCTGGCTGCGACTGCAGGTTGGGAGTCAGAGCCGCAAACCGCGCGGCTGGCCGCCCTCGGCCCCGGCTGCTCGGTGGAGGACAGACGCTCGCGCTCGGGACTTTGCCCCGTGCAGTAACCCGTAACTGACCGGCGTGAATGAGGCCACCAAGGCGTTTCTGCCTCCTGGTGCCCCGAGTGCACTCTTGGGGCCAGGCTGAAGTCCCTTTATGTGTCCTTTAAGTACAGTCGAGAGCAGCCCAGCTCTGATCTCCGGGGTCAGGGAGGTGGAAGTCCTCTCCCAGTTTACATAACAGCTTACGTAACCGCGGGTTACTGGGGCGTTTAGGGTTTGTCCTTCTTGAGTAGGGACGGGATGACTTCGCAGAGACCCCATTCCGGGTCCCACGAACCAAGAGTCAAGAACATGCCCCAGCTAGGCCTTAGGACCTAATCCTAACCCTAATCCTAGCTCCAGACTGGCCTGTGGAGCTAGGGCTTGGGCTAGGGCTGGGGGTAGGGTTCGGGCTAGGGCTAGGGCTAGGGCTAGGACCTGGCTTAGGTGGTTTTGGAAAACGTCCACACCCAGTTCTGAGGCTGATAGCCCATGCAGTGCGTGTGTCATTGCATGCATTTACACACGTGTGTTGGGCGTGCAGCCCTTCACGTCTGTCCGTGGGACCTGTCAGCTGTTGGGCTTGGCATCAGAGAGGACTGGCAGGAGAACAAGAGAGTAGGCTCTTGTCTGCAAAGGTGTTTGCAGGGCCTGGCGTGGTGTCCGTCCCGACATGCGTGCCCTCTGCGTGCTTGCTGTTGGGTGCCCACACGTCCGAGCCGTGGCCCGCGGCAGTGCAGGAGCCCGCAGTGCCTGCTGAGTCACCAGAGAGGAGGCGTGGATTTGATTCGTGCTGGCCACGCAGCACTTGTCCGGGCGCAGTGCCAGGCGGGGTCAGCGGGGTTCAGATAGGCGCGGGTCCAGTCCCTGCTCCCCAGGAAACTGAGGTGTAGACGGGAGCAGCAAGACGGGTCCAGCAGTTGGTGCTGCGTGCGAGTGAGCCACGTGCGTGGGTTCTCGGGACAGAGCCGAGCCGCTGTGAAGGCTAACCGGGCCAAGTTCAAATCCCAGCTCCCTGGCTGTGTCTTCAGGAATGTCCTTTAACCTCTTTGACTCTGTTTCCTTATCTTTGACCTTTTTGACTCTGTTTTCCTTTTTTTAAAAAAAGAAAATAAAAGAAGGACTCTCTGATATCTTTATAAAATGTTTGTGAGCATTTAAGAATGTCAAAGTACCGCACCTAGTGCTTGGCGCATAGTAAGTGCTCAGTAGATTACTACCAGTTCATGCTATTATTATTTTTTTTAATTATTATTTTTTGAGATAAGTGTCTCACTCTGTTGCCCGGGCTACAGTGCCGTGGTGTCAGCCTAGCTCACAGCAACTACCAACTCCTGGGCTCAAGGGATCCTCCTGCCTCAGCCTCCCGAGTAGCTGGGACTACAGGCATGCGCCACCATGCCCGGCTATTTTTTTTTTCTATGTATTTTTAGTTGGCCAATTAATTTCTTTCTATTTTTAGTAGAGACCGGGTCTCACTCTTGCTCAGGCTGGACTCGAACTCCTGACCTTGAGCAATCCTCTAGCCTCGGCCTCCCAGAGTGCTAGGATGACAGACATGAGCCACCACGCCCGCCCCAACATGCTATTGTTTAATACTCTCATGTGTAGCGGACCGTGGGGGACAGGGAAAACAATTCAGAATCAGAGAATAGTTTCACCCGCTATCTCTAAAAGCTTAGTGGGTTTCGTATTAGTTTTTCCGGAGGTGGCCAGGCGTGGGAGTAGGGCGAGCCGATGGGAGGAAGTGTACAGGTAGGAAAAATCCGGCTTGTGTAGTCCACATTCTACATGATATTGTGTCATTTCGAGGTATTTTTCTATCCATCGTCCCTTTCTAAAGTAGAAGGGCGTGAGCCCACTGCGAGTTTCCCTGGTCATGTCCGTGGAGGTTGATGGGCACCGACTGCCCGTGACAATGTCTAGAAGGTTCTAGAAGGTGTCCAGGCCTTGGTGGGGAAGGGCGCTGAGCTTCCCGGCAGTGTCTGCCCCGGGGAAGGGGGCCGGCCCGCGTGCGTGCGGTCCACCTGGCGTCGCCTGGTCTTCCTGGAGACAGGGCGCTGTCCCTCTGCCCGTCCTTGCAGGTGGAGGTGATCAAGAAGGCCTACCTGCAAGGGGAGGTGGAGTTCGAGGACGGGGAGAACGGCGAGGACGGAGCTGCCTCCCCCAGGAACGTGGGGCACAACATCTACATTCTGGCCCATCAGGTAGCCCTGGCCCTGTCCCCAGACCCTGTCCCTGTGGCCACAGCGCCCCGCCCCGCTTGGTCTCCCTCCTTCAGGCGTCTAACACGGGGCTGCCTGTGCCCGTGGGAGGGGCTCGCAGGTGCTTCGGCGACCTGCCCCGGCGCGCCGAGTCCACGACTTCTCCCTTTCTCTCCCGCGGTGGGGTCGCGGGGCCGTTTAACTGCGTCCGTCCCCAAGCCAGTGACACGTTCACGACTTTGGAGACAGTTGAAAGGAGTCTTGGGCTTTTATAAACATTGATGAGTCTCTCTCAACAGTCTCAGTCCCCGCGTTTGGGAGTCCGTGGGAACTTGCCGTGGCGACTTCCTTCGGTTCCCCTCCTTGGGGGTGCGACGGCACTGGGTGTCCTGGCACCCGCGTGCCGCGTCTGGCCGCTTCTCTCCCCGAGAGGCTGCGTGCTGGGAGAGACCTCCTCTTTCTGGGTGTGCACGTGCGCTGAGCTCTGGCGCGCGGGGTGGGGCTCGGGCTTCCTGTCCCTTTCTCCTCTTGGAAACTCAGGGATGGGAACGAGATTCGGAACGATAGTGGTGTGGGGTTGAGGTCCCCGCTGCCGGCTGGGACTTCCGGATGGCCTCCTGTCCCCCGTCTCCTCCATGACCGGCGTCCAGCCGCTGCGGGTTCGGGTGGGGGCTCCGTGGCTGAGCAGAAAACCCGTGCCCCTTCCATCTCGCTAGCGAGTCGGGACACCGACCTTATACGTGGGCAGGAGCCTTCTGGGCTTTTCTACCAAGGTCCCCAGACAGCTCCTGTGCAAGGCACACCTTGATGGGCACCGGCGAGCCTCCTGGTGCCTTTGCCCTTTGGCTTGCCACTGGTTATCATGCACTTATGTGTTTTTTTTTTTTTTGAGACAGAGTCTCTGTTGCCTGGGCTAGAGTGCCGTGGCGTCAGCCTCGCTCACAGCAACCTCCAACTCCTGGGCTCAAGCGATCCTCCTGCCTCAGACTCCCAAGTAGCTGGGACTACAGGCATGCGCCACCATGCCTGGCTAATTTTTTCTATATGTTTTTAGTTGACCAATTAATTTCTTTCTATCTTTAGTAGAGACTGGGTCTTGCTCTTGCTCAGGCTGGTCTCGAACTCCTGACCTTGAGCTGGGATTGCAGAGTGCTAGGGTTACCAGAGTGAGCCGCCACGCCCGGCCATGCACTCTCGTTATTCCCAGAGTTGGACAGCAGCTCGTGTTCTTCCTGTCGGGAAGAGAGCGCGAGCCCGTCTTTGTGTCCCCGTGTGCTAGCTGGCGCGGCACAACAAGGAGCTGCAGAGCATGCTGAAGCCGGGCGGCCAGGTGGACGGAGACGAAGCGCTGGAGTTCTATGCCAAGCACACGGCGCAGATCGAGGTGAGCGCGGGCGGGCCTGCCCCGCGGCTGGCGCGCACTCGTGGTCTGAGCACCTCCTGGGTGCTGAAGGTCCCGCACCGGCGGAGACGCTGGCGGGGAACGGGCGGCGAGCACGCCCAGGTGCCTGCGCCTCCTTCGCTGCACGTTGTCACTGGGCTGCGGGGACAGGCGGGAAGGCATCGTGAGGTGGCCCAGCAGAGGGCCTGCTGCAGATTGGAGGGTCAGGGAGCCCCGTCCTGAAGACGCGGCACCCGAGCGCAGACTCTGGTGGCGGGGAAAGTCTAAGCCAGGCGAGGGGCCCGAGGTGGGGCGCTGAGCTCGGGGGAGAGCAGCCAGGTCTCTCGGGGCGGCGTGGGACTCTGCCCAGGGCGTAGGAAGATTCCAGAAGCAGGTGGTCGGCAGGCGTAGGTTAGAAGACAAGCCGGAGCCACATGCGTCGCCATTACATTGCAAATTTGACTCGTTAAATTCTCTCAATGAAGCTTTATCATTTTCTCTAGAAAAAAAAAACAAAAAAAACCAAAAAACAACTTAGTCTCTGAAAACTCTGAAATGAGGCTCAGAGGGGTGGTGTCGCTGGTCCGATGACCAGTAGCAGAGCTGCAGTGTTAGTCCCGACCGGCCTGGTCCCTGGGCCCACGGGTGCGTTTTATGTGACCTGCGTTGTCTCTTAGCGTCCGGGAGAACGCAGACTTCCATCCGCAGGTTCTAGAACATGAGGGACTCGCTAGTGCCTTGTGTTTGCTGCTTCGGAAATGCACGAGTTCAATGTTAGTGGTGGAACGGGGCTTTGCAAGGACTAGCAGGCTCCGTTGGGCCAATAGGAAATGTCCAGAGTGGAGACGTTTGGAGAAAGCGTTCTGACGGGTGTCTCAGGGTCTGGGTTCTGCGTCCTGTCTCTGGTCACCGGCCGTGCCGTGCATGTGAGCAAATGTCCCTGGTTTCCTGTCACTGCCTCTCGGCTTGGCTGAAGGGCCAGTGCCCCTCTAGAGCGCTTAAAACACCAGCCTCAGGTGTTGGTGACCTGACGTCACAGGGGCATAGAAGCTCGGGCTCATCTCAGGGGGCCCTGGGCTCGCCAGGGGGAAGGCGAGGGCTGGTGGGGTTGGGGGGGGTGCGAGGGCCCGCAGCCCGCTAGGAGACTGTGTTCTCCTGACTCTCCATTTTAAGTCTGCTAAAAAAGAAAAAAGAATGGTATGTGTAGGTCTTCAGTTGTTTTTTTTTTTTTTAAGACAGAGTCTCACTGTGTTGCCCGGGCTAGAGTGAGTGCCATGTTTTCAGCTTCGCTCACAGCAACCTCAGAATCCTGAGTTTAAGTGATCCCTCTCCTGCCTCAGCCCTCCGAGTAGCTGGGACTACAGGCATCGCCACCCATGCCTGGCTAATTTTTTCTATATATTTTTTGTTGGCCAACTTAATTCTATTTTTAGGTAGACAGAAGACGGTCTCACTCCTTGCTCAGGCCGGTTTTGAACTCCTGGCCTCGAGCGATCCTGCCTCCTCCGGCCGCTCCAGGCCAGTGCTGGGATGACAGCTGGAGGCCCGCACGCCCAGCCCCAGTCCAGGGTTGATAGGAATGCAGGAGAGGATGTGCCCGTACTTGGCCTTGGATGCTGCGTCCACCCTGCAGCTCGGCAGGCTCGCGTCCTGGCGGCGGTTCCGGGAGGGCTGACTTCCGCGCCCCCCGATGTCCAGGGCGCGGGTCACCGGAGGGGAGGGAGGGGCTTGGATCCCGCGCCCCCCCAGGATCGTCAGGGGCGGGTCCCGGGGAGAGGGATGCTGACTCCCGCGGCGCGCCCAGATCGTTCAGCGTGGGGACGGACGATGGAGCAGGATGTGTTCCGCCGCCGGTCCCGGCGATCTGGCGGGAGTTTCTCACCCGGTAGTCCCAAGCTGCGCATTCTACTACCCCGACAGGGAGCGGACGAAGCAGGGCAGCAGAGGATCAAGACTTGCTTCTGCGCTCCGAGGACCTCTTCAACGAGATGAACTGGCAGAAGAAGCTGAGAGGTGGGTGGGCAGCGCGGCAAGGCCGCGAGCCGGCCGTCGCCTCCCGGACCCACCTGGCCGGCGCACCTGTCCCGGGGCTGCCGTCCCCCGTGATGGCGTGCCCGTCCCTGGGGCTGCCGTCCCCCGTGATGGCGCGCCCGTCCCCGGGGCTGCCGTCCCCCGTGATCACGTACCCGTCCCCGGGGCTGCCGTCCCCCGTGATGGCGCGCCCGTCCCCGGGCTGCCGTCCTCTGTGATGGCGCGCCGACCCCGCCCCAGGGACCCCACACGCCTCTGTAGCTGATCGCCCCTCCTGCCTCAGCCGCTCCCCGGAAAGCCTTCCTCCCGGCAGGGTCTGACGTGACTGGGGAGCTGCCTAGATGTCATTCGTTCATTCACTTATGAATGAATGAACGACTGTATATATGTATGTATGTCATAGTCTCACTCTGTCACCCGGGCTAGAGTGAGTGCCATGTTTTCAGCTTCGCTCACAGCAACCTCAGAATCCTGAGTTTAAGTGATCCCTCTCCTGCCTCAGCCTCCCGAGTAGCTGGGACTACAGGCATGCGCCACCATGCCTGGCTAATTTTTTCTATATATTTTTTTGGTTGGCCATTTAATTTATTTTCTATTTATAGTAGAGATGGGGTCTCGCTCTTGCTCAGGCTGGTCTCGAACTCCTGACCTCGAGTGAATCACCCGCTCGGCCTCCTAGAGTGCTGAGATGACAGGCGCGAGCCACGACGCCCTGTCACCCTAGATGACTTTTAAGAGGCCTCTTTCTGCCGTCTCTATGTAGAAAATAAAAGCCAGGAGAGAGAAGAGGAAAGGGCAGGCCCTTGAGCTCACGGGAGGGTTCGCTTGAGCAGGAAATCGGAGGGCGTGGTGGCTCATGGACCGGCACACCTGCTTCGGAGCCCGTGTTTTCCCTTTCACAGGTCTCGCGCTGTGGACCCTAGATCATGTCACAGGCAGGGGAGTCGTGCCCCGCAAGAGGCGCCGGGGCTCACCGGCGAGTCCCGTTGCGAAACCCAGCCAGCCGGGTGGAAATTACTCATCTGGGACAGGTTTATAGGGCTTCCCCGGGCCGCTCCCTGCTCCTGGTTGTCACTGGGGTTTTAATGGGATCCTTCAGTCCTGGCAGTGCGCTTGGCACTGGCTGCATAGACCGACTTAGAAAGGATCGGGCTTTATTTCTATCTGTGAGTCAGGAGCCAGATTTGTTTTTTATTTGAAACCCTGATCCGAGCGACAGTGGGTGGTGTCTGGAGCTCTCCGTGGGGCGGGGCTGGACGAGAGCTGGGTTGGAGGTCAGCTTCTGGAAGCTTCTGTCCTTTCCCCGATTCCCTGCCAATCCGAGCAGGGGCAGACCTGCCTCCCTTACTGTGCGTCTCTTCTTGCCTTTCCTCCCTGCCCCTCCCTGCAGCCCCAGATTGGGCTGGTGGCGGAGAGGGGTGTGTGCGCAGGTCTGCCAGAAGCCCTGTCCCCACCCCTTCCCTCCGTTGCCGCGTTCTCGGCCCTCTCCAAGGGCCACCTCTGTGCCCAGCGCTTGCAAACACTGTGAAATGCCCGGCCAGGCCAAAGCCTCCCCCCGCCCAGCTCCGTGTCTGGCCCCTGGCCTCGGGCCAGGGGCTCTAGAGCAGGCCGGGGTGCCTGGCTCCCCCAGTGGGGACCTCAGGGGACCCAGTATCGGGGCGTCCCCAGAGCCTGTTGTGGGTCCTCTAAGACCCTTCAGCGCAGGCATCACGCACGCTTGCACGCCACGGCGGCACCGAGCTCGGACAGTAAGAGCACAAAGGGTCCCCAGAGCAAGGTAGCCGTAAGCCCGGCCCATCTCCTGTCTTCGGCTGTCCTCTCACGCAGGGAGAGAAGTCGCTGGTTGCTTTGTCGTTCACTGGGATGGCCCGTGGCTCTAGCATTAGGCGACAATCCTGAGTGCATCTGTCCACACTCCCTTGATGGTTGCTCAGCCGCCATTTTGGCCCGTCAGTGCATGCGTGTCTGCGGGCCCGCTGAGCACAGCATCCTTTCAGGACGGCGTCGCCACGTGTGCGTGTGCGTGTGCATGTGTATTCTGTGGGCCGTCCCAAAGCTTGTGAACCAACAAAAAGCTTTTCACCTTTTCTGGCGAGAGGTCTCTCCTTTTCCCACTTGAGGAGCCGTCACTGGCAGTCTGGGCAGTAGGAGTCCCTCCGCCCCGGAGTGGCGGTCTCAGTTCCAGTCTGCTGCTGCCACCCCCGGGCTCTGTGGCCCGGGCACGTGGCTGTCCCAGGCCCTCACCTGGACAGTGGGGAATGGAGATGGCCTGGCTGGTGTGTCCAGCGTGGCCGCCTCATCGTTCTGAGACAGGCTACCCTGTAGCTAATACTTTCCCCGTATTATTTCAGTCTTTTCCTTTTTTTAGGAAAAAAAAACAGTTTTTGTTTCAGGGAAGCTTCAGCACCACTGTAGTTGTCAACTGAAAGATTTTAATTGGCTTCAGAGCTCTCTGCTGGAAAGAGAGAAATGGAAAATAATAACTTGAATTAAACTTGATTTGCATCTTTAGGGAGGGGAGGAACGGACTTGTTAGAAGTGCAACTAAAATGAAAATTTTCCCTCTGAGTAGCTTGTTTCTCTTCTGATAAGTCTGCAGGAAGAGATTTTTTTTTTTTTTCTGGCTGATTCATGTGGTGGCTTTATCTTTTCCCGGGTATCGCAGAGGGTCATCGGTCCGCGGTAAACGTGTCGCTGGGACTAAGCCACAGGTAGGGGCTGAGACGCAGGCTGCTGCTTCGCATTTCCTCTGTGCAAGGTCGAAAGCCCCAGTGCCCTGCTCTCCCTGAACGCTCTTCCCTGCTTTGTGTCCGCAACAATGGGCTAGGAACGCCAGGAGAGGGTGAGGGGACAACCGAGGCCGAGTTGGATGTGGCGATTCTCTCTTGCTTGGGGTTTTCCCTTATGGTTTTCGCGCCCATCAGCACACAGGGAGGCCAGGGCTTTTGAGAGCGAGGCTCAGTTCCTTTAAAACAAACAAACAAAAAGACAGGCACGAAGTTCCCAAGAGAGGCCCTGGTTTGCGGTCGCGTAAGCTGCCTGTGTTTGCGGGCGGTGGCCTTGCACCTTCAGTGCGGCAGGTGCATCGATCCAGCCAACTTTTAGCCCCGAGCAAGCTGAAACCGTGCTCCCAGGTACGGTGGGGCACTCAGCCACGTTTGAGCTGTGCGTCCTTCCTGCGGGACTTGCCACCCGCAGTGGGCAGGCAGCACAGGCACGCCTGTGAGTGGCTGTCATGCCGATTATGACCGGAGCTGTCATCAAGCGCTGGCACACGGTGGAAGCGTTCGGGACAGGGAGGCCTCCCAGCAAAGGCGGGGTCTGAACCGCACCTAAAAGGACTTGGAACGGCGCAGCCTGAGCCACGGGAGGGAACGGGCAGATGTGCCGGTCCCCGATTGCTGCTGTGACAAATCGCCACCAAGTTTGATGCTGGCGACGACATAAATTAATCATCTTACGGTTCTGGGGACGAGAAGTCTGAGAAGTTTCTTACTGGGCTGAAATCAGGGCGTCTACAGGGCTGTGTTCGTTCTGAAGGCTCCGGCCTTTCCCAGCTCTGGAGGCTGCCCGCCCCCTCGGCCCTTGGCCTCCTCCCCGGCCTTTTTTTCCAATGCCGCAAGCGGGCCCCCCGGTAGAGGCTTCCCCCGGTCGCGTCGCTCTCGCTCTGACTCTCCGTCCTCCCTCTTTTTTTTAATTTGATTTGAGAAGGAGTCTCACCCTCTGTGGCCGGGCTAGAGGAAGTGCATGGCGTCAATAGCCTTCGCTCACAGCAAACCTCCAGGGACTCCCTGGGGTCAAGCAATCCTCCTGGCTCAGCCTTCCTGAGTAGCTGGGACTACAGGCATCGGCCCACCATGCCGGCTAATTTTTCTATATATATTAGTTGGCCAATTAATTTCTTTCATTTTTTAGTAGGGACGGGGTCTCACTCTGTTCAGGACTGGTCTCCGACTCCTGACCTGAGCGATCCTCCCGCCTCGGCCTCCCGGAGTGCTGGATGACAGGCGTGAGCCGCCGCGCCCGGCCTGCGTGAGCTTTGCGCGCGTGAGCTCACGTGGAGAGGACGGCAGGCCTTCCCACGTGCTCGCCACGCAGCTCCAGCCGGTGCCAGCTCCCTGCCATTCATCTCTCCGCCTCTCTGGGGTTTCCTGTCCAGATCAGAACTGGGCTTCGGTCCCAGAAGCAGCACCGGAAGCGCCTGCTATTTCTAGAGCAGATAAACGTCTCGCCCTAACTTGCTTCAGCAGTTAACTCACAAAAAGTACATTGCTACCTGGTTTGACCCGATGGGTCCTGGTCGGCTCCTCTCGTGAGTTATGACACAAGTCACTTATCTTTTTGTTTTGAGACCGAGTCTCACTCTGCTGCCCAGGCTAGAGTGAGTGCCGTGGCGTCAGCCTCGCTCACAGCACCTCAGACTCCTGGCGCAAGCGATCCTCCTGCCTCAGCTCCGAGTAGCTGGGACTACAGGCACTCGCCACCATGCCCAGCTAATTTTTTATAGTAGTTTGGCTAATTTTTTTTTTTTTATAGTAGAGACAGGGGTCTTTCTCTTCCTCAGGCTGGTGTCGAACTCCTGACCTCGAGCAATCCTCCCGCCTCGGCCTCCCTGAGTGCTGGGATGACAGGCGTGAGCCACCGCACCCGGCCTGTCACTTATCTTTATCCCGTCACTGGCCCCAGAGGATCACTAACCTGGCTAATGTGATCACCACAGCTTCCCCCCACCCTTTCTTGTGCCTCAGTTTCCCTCGTTTGTACAAGGAGGGATTTTAAAGTTGGATGGCTGCTCTTATAGCTCTTAAACTCCACAGTTTGGAAACACGCCTGTTACTAAGTGCAGACGTGATAGGAGCAATTATTGAATTACCCAGGGCTCTGTTTAATTGCGCTGTAATTTTATCTGGATGGAAGCTCCCAAGGCGTGGCTGCTGCCACGAGCATGATTACAGGGCCGCTGGATATGCCACTGGCCGCTGTCCCAAAGCGAAACGATGGCTTCGTTGGGAGAGAGGAAGGCACGACAGAGGTCCACTCTCACGTGCCAGAGGCTTCTCTCCGGCGGGAGACGGTGTTCAGGGAGGACCGTCGTGGAAACTTGGCCTCTGGCACGGACTCGGAAATCGCTCCCGCCACGTCTGTTTCTGAGCGTTGTCCTGAGTGTCAGGCACCCCCGAAAAGAGTTTGGGGAAAGGGAAGCGCCGCTGCAGCCAGGCGTGGCCTTGGGCTTGCTGCTGCAAGGCTGAGGCGCCCAGCCAGCGCGGGGTCCCCTGCGGGAAACGGGGCGCAGGTGCAGCTGTGCGCGTGGCAGAGGGTGCCCGTGCCCCTTCGCGGCGCCTCGGTGCCGCAGGCTCCCCGCCGTTGGCCGTGGAGCTGGTCACCCCGCGCCGCCACACAGCCGGCCACGCGCTCCCACTGGTCCCCACGTCCCCAGGAAGGATCATCCGGCTTCAGGGAAATGGCAGATGACTCCAGGTCGGGACAGGGACCGTCGTCTCGCTTTTGGGCGCCTGCAAGTCAGCAAGCGCCGTGAGCAAGGGAGGAGTGTGGCGTGGGGCCAGCCCCAGGCGGGCCGCGGCCCAGCAACCCACACTCTAATTCATTTAGTTAGTTAGTTTTTTAAATTTTCATCTTACTTTTTTTTTTAATGTCTTCTATCTATGATTAGAAATTAATGGCAAAAACTCTCAACTCTGAAAAAGCTAAAATGAGGCCGGCGCCGTGGCTCACGCCTGTCATCTGGCACCTGGGAGGCGAGGCAGAGGATCGCTCGATCAGGATTAAAACCAGCCTGACAAGAGCAGAGACCCCATTTCTACGTAAATAAATAACATTATGCGCAACTAAAAATTATATATACAAAAGACCGGCATGGTGGCAATGCCTTAGTCCCAGCTACTCGGGAGCTGAGGCAGGAGGATGCTTGAGCCCAGGACTTGAGGTTGCTGTGAGCGAGGCTGACGCCACGGCACTCACTCTAGCCCAGGCAACAGGGTGAGACTCTGTCCCAAAAAACAACAGAAAAAAGCTACTAGAATTCTTGGGGTCTCTCTAGGCATCTCATCTGGCGCTGGAGCCCTGGGGGGGACCGGGGCTCAGTGTGACCAGTATTCCGCAACGGGTGGTGCAGACCTGGGTTCTCTGTCCCGACACGTCTTCCGTCCCAGTAAGTAAACAGAACAACAGTCTGGTGTCGTCGTGTGCCATGTTCTCAGCCCGGCATGTTCTGACCGTACACAGACAGGACACAGTGGCCATGCGCCAGCGGGGGCGGGGGCCTGCTGCGCTTGCCGTCCGCGGGTCCGGCACGCCCCGTCTCTGTGCCCGCAGCCCAGCCCGTGCTGTACTGGTGCGCCCGGAACATGTCCGTGTGGAGCAGCATCTCCTTCAACCTGGCCGTGCTCATGAACCTGCTCGTCGCCTTCTTCTACCCGTTCAAGGGCGTCCGAGGAGGTACCGTGTCTGTCTAGTCAAGGAAGCCACTAGCAGCAGCCAGCAGGGACGCCGTGACCTCCCTGGAAGTGCTGGCGCAGCGTGTAGGGCCCCGGTTCTCCATTCTCCAGCAAGATGAGGTTGTCCCTGCCGCCACACGTTCAGTTTGGAATCTCACGTAACGTAATGTAAATGCGGGCCGGGCGCGGCGGCTCACGCCTCTGAGCCTCGCACCCTGGGAGGCCGAGGCAGGAGGATCACTCAAGGTCAGGAGTTCGAAACCAGCCTTAGCAAGAGCGAGACCCCGTCTCTACTAGGAATAGAAATAAATTAATTGAAATAAATTCTATTATTTAATAGAAATAAAATAATAAATAATTGGCCAACTAAAAATATAGAGAAAAAATGAGCCGGGCATGGTGGCGCATGCCTGTAGTCCCAGCTACTCGGGAGGCTGAGGCAGGAGGATCACTTGAGCCCAGGAGTTGGAGGTTGCTGTGAGCGAGGCTGACGCCACGGCACTGTAGCCCAGGCAACAGAGCAAGGCTCTGTCTCAAAACAAACAAACAAACAAATATACAGAAAACATTAGCCAGGCGTGGTGGTGCTTAGCTAAGCCAGCTATTTGGGAGGCTGAGGCAGGAGGATCTCTTGAGCCCAGGAGTTGGAGGTTGCTGTGAGCGTGGCTGACGCCACGGCACTCTAGCCTGGGCAACAGAGTGAGACTCTGTCTCAAAAAATTAAAATGAAATAAAAGAGTAATCTAAGGACCAATTTGAAAGTGACGACATGTTGTATAATGCTTCTATATCTAACTCACCCATTTGAGAGTTTTTCTCTTTGGACTTGCGTAGCATTGAAGGCGCCCTGTGAATGATTTTTCCCCCTAAAGCACAACCTAAACACAAGTCCAGGGTTTTTTTTGTTTTTTTTTTTGTCACATGCCATGTCAGGAAACTTGAGTGCCCACGTCCAAAAAGACTGGACGGGAGCACAGGGCTGCAGAGTGTTCTCCAGGGGCCGTCCGCGTTAACCAGGCTGCCAGCCGGCGGAGGTGTGGCGGTGAAGGGGTCAGGGAGGAGGTCGTGGGCTGTGACAGAGGCTGGTCTCCTTCCACCCCGGAGAAGTCCCCACGCTGCTCGCAGCAGACCATTCAGCCAGTACGCTGGGTGTGTTTTCACATTCCCTCTGTTTCCTGAACAATATTTCAGATCGATTTCTGTTATTGGCCTTGTCCTTTTTTCGCTGGTCACTTGTTGCATGCAGCATTCAGGCCCGTGTCTGGGGACGGGGCGTTGGCAGCCCCTGCTCTGCAGCGACAAGCCTCACGCGGCGCAGTTCCTGCACTTGGGAGACCCAGGGACCCGTGTCCGGGGCGGCTCCTGCCGCGCACTTGCCGCGGGGCTCTGGGCAGGCCGCCTCCCCGAGGCTCGCTGTGCTCTGTGTCAAGAAATGCTGCTTCCTCCTTCAGATTCTTAAGTTAAAAAAAAAAGAAAACAGACAAAGAAGTTAAAAAATAAAAAAATAATAAAGAAATGCTTCAGTTGAGCCCGTGGCGGTGAAACTTCGGCCTGGCTTCACAAAGTCCCGTGGCATTCAGGGGAAAGAGTTGCCAACCTAGTCAGGATCTGGGCTCATCAAAGTTTGAGACCCACTGGATGAAGTGGTTGTTCGGGATCCTTCCAACGCTGAAACGGTGCGTTCTGAATGTGGCATCAGCTCCGCTGATCTGTAGGAGTCAAGACTTCCTGTTTCGGAATTACGGGTTTCAGAACTTCATGCTGATAGACTAAACTGAAAGCATAATTAGATCTCGTGGGAGGGAAGAGAAGTTGATCTGACCTGCAGAGCCTTTTCCCTTATAATAGAGACTGAAATCACCTCAAACACATAAATTCACTCTTAGAGGGACTTTTTTCCTTCTGTAAGATGTGTTGAGGGCATTTTCTGGACTCGATTCTAACTACCTTCAGGAGAAGGCTTGTATTAACCCTGCGTAGAAACAAGATCTGGTTTGTTGACCTGAAAGTATTTGAGATCAGTATTTGTTAGGATTTGTTGCATACTACAAACAGGATTTCCAAAATGTCCCTCTTGAATGTGTATGGTGACCTTGTCGTGTGTGTGGTTCTGTGGCTTACAAGATTCGTGGCTCCCAAGAACACCAGTGGCCTTAAAAGCTCCTTTTCAGAAGTATCGTTTCTTCCCCCTTTATTTCAGAACTGATGAGTCGTGCAGTCTTTCAAAAGCATGAAACTTGGGCAGCTTCAGATTGCTTACTGGGAAGAACTCAAATGTCCATTAATTACTGAGTAGATAAATAAATTGATATCTATCCATACTGTGGAATACTCAGTGATAAGAAGAATAACATACCAATACACCCAACAACCTAGATGAATCTTTAAAACTGTCCAGGTGTAGCCTGCCATGATGACTAAAACAAATGCAGTACTGCATTTTCAACTTTTTTATTATCGAAATTTTCAAATATACACACAAGTAGAAAGAACCATGTAATGAACTGCCATGAACCTATCAGCCCAACTTTAGCAGTTAACATTTTGCCTATCTTGTTTCATTTATCCCCCTGCTGCATTTTTTTGAAACATTTTAAATAAGTCTAGGCATCTTGGTTTTTTGTCCATAAATATTTCAGTGTGCATCTCTAACTTATAAGGACATTTTAAAATATGTATAATCATCATGCCATTATCATATCTAACAAAACTAACAGCAAATCCTGTAATAGTCTGTCCAAATTCAGATTTCTCCAACTGTCTCAAAGATGTCCTTCTAAAGTTGGTTTTTTGGAATCCAGCACTATTTTTTAACACCACTCTTATAAAGGGGAGACAGCATTTTTACACTGATCTCTTCGGGATTTGGGTACTTACATTGTACTGGTCACATTTATTATACTGAGATCATCTTGAGGGTCTGTTTTTTTTTTTTTTTAATTTCAGCATATTATTGGGGTACAAATGTTAAGGTTATGTATATTGCCCATGCCCCTCCTCCTCCCTCGAGTCAGAGCTTCAAGTGTGACCATCCCCCAAATGGTGCACATCTCACTCCTTGTGTTTGTATATGCCCGTCCCCTCCTCCCCCTCCCACCTGCCCGACACCCGATAAATGTTACTCCTATATGTCCACTTAGGTGTTGATCTGTTAATACCAATTTGCTGGTGAGTACACGTGGTGCTTGTTTTGGGGATACTTCACATAGTAGGATGGGTTCCAGCTCTATCCAGGAAAATACAAGAGGTGCTATTTCACCATTTTTTCTTAAAGCTCAGTAGTAGTCCATGGTATACATATACCACATTTTATTAATCCACTTAAGAGTCTGTTTAAAATGGTGATTAAGCACTCAAGAAAATGAAAAACAAGCCATAGACAGGGAGAAAATATTTGCAAAACGTATATCTGATAGAAGGTTTATGTCCAGAATATTCAAAAAACTCTTACAACTCAATAATAAAAAACACAATTAAAACAATGGGCAAAATATTCGATCCCATACTTCACAAAAGAAGATGTACACATGGTCAATAAGCACATGAAGAGATATTCAGCATCACTTGTTGTCAGGGACATATTAAAACCACAACAACATACCCCCACGAACCTTCTAGAATGGTTCAATTATAAAAGACTAATAGTCCCAAGTATTGGAGGTGAGTGCAGCAAACGGAGGTCTCATGTTCTGCTGGGGAAGACAGTGTGGTAATGTCTTATAAAGTTAAACACATACTTGGGATCCAATAATCTACTTCCATGTGTTTGTCCAAGAGAAATGGAAACACGTTCGCTCCAAGAAGTGTACTTGAACGCTCCCGGTAGCATTATTTGTAATAGCTCCAAACTGGAAAGAACACAAATGTCCCTTAATTGTCGAATGGATAAATAATGGTAGTACATCCATATTGTAGAATACTCAAACAGTAAAAGAACAAAATATCAATACACACAATAACCTGGACGAATGTTAAAAACTTGCTAGGAGAAAAAAGTCAAACACAAAAGACTACCTACTAGTATGATTACTTTTTCCATTTTTAAGAAATTCTACAAAGTACAAAACTATAGTGACAAGACAGATCAGTGGTAGCCTGGGTTAGGAGTGGCCAAGACATCACCTGCAAAGAGGCACAAGGAAACTTCTTTTCTTTTTCTTTTTCTTTTTTTTTGAGACAGAGCCTTGCTATGTTGCCTGGGCTGGATGGAGTGCTGTGGCGTCGTCATAGCTCACAGCAACCTCGAACTCCTAGACTTAAGAGATCCCCTGCCTCAGTTTCCCAAGTAGCTGGGATTACAGGCACATGCATGCCTGGCTAAGTCTTTTATTTTTTGTAGAGATGGGGTCTCAGTATGTTGCTCAGGCTGGCCTCCAACGATCCTCCAACCTCAGCCTCCCGAAATGATTACAGGAATGAGTTACCACGCCCGGCCTCAAGGAAATGTGTTAGGGTGGCAAAAATGTTCTGCATCTTGGTTGTGGTGACAGTCACACTCGGAGGTTACACGACTATATGAACTGCATAAGATTCACCAAATTTAACACTTACAATGATGCATGGATTGTTTTTTTTTTTTTTGAGACAGAGTCTCACTCTGTTGCCCGGACTAGAGTGAGTGCCGTGGCGTCAGCCTCACTCACAGCAACCTCAGACTCCTGGGCTCAAGCGATCCTCCTGCCTCAGCCTCCCGAGTAGCTGGAACTACAGGCATGCGCCACCATGCCCGGCTAATTTTTGTTCTATGTATTTTTAGTTGGCCAATTAATTTCTATTTATAGTAGAGATGGGGTCTCGCTCTTGCTCAGGCTGGTTCTTGAACTCCCTGACCTTGAGCGATCCTCCTGCTGGGCCTCCAGAGTGCTAGGATTACAGGCGTGAGCCACCGCGCCCGGCCTGGATTATTTTTTTAATGGCGGTTAAGGACCATCCACCTCACAGGCAGGCAGCCTCCAGCTGATCCCTTTGTCACTTTGGGCAAGACGTGAGACTCAAGACTCAGTTTCCTCTAGAGTAAAATGGAGGTAACAGTGCCAACCTCCTAGGGCGGCTAAGGGGATTCGAAAATGATAGCCAGCGTACAGGACTTTTTTTTTTTTTTTGAGACAAGTCTCGCTTTGTTGCCCAGGCTAGAGTGAGTGCCGTGGCGTCAGCCTCGCTCACAGCAACCTCCAACTCCTGGGCTCAAGCGATCCTCCTGCTTCAGCCTCCCGAGTAGCTGGGACTACAGGCATGTGCCACCATGCCCGGCTAATTTTTTGTATCTATTTTTAGTTGGCCAATTAATTTCTCTATTATAGTAGAGACGGGTCTCGCTCTTGCTCAGGCTGGTTTCGAACTCCTGACCTCGAGCGATCCTCCCGCCTCGGCCTCCCAGAGTGTGCAGGGCGTTAGTGCCTTGCCTGACGGCTGTTAAATGCTCACAAAGCGACAGTTGTGCATATCCGCTTCTTGAATTTCTGAAAAGCGTCTCTTTATGCCCATTTCTAATCTGATTTTTCCCTTTGAAGACGATGGAAGGGGAAGAGGTAAGTGGCTGGGCTGAGGGCAGGTTTCAGGGGAAAACATCTCATCAGGCGTGGGCGAGGTGAAGCAGGGCAGTCCAGGAGTTTGTCACCTGCAAAGGTGTCCCTTCCCGGGTGGCACTGCGGTCCCGGCCGTTAGGGAGAAGTGAAACCCCTTTATGTAAGTGTCCTTCACCCTGTAGCGCTGCTTGTTTACATTCGAAGGAGCCTCACAATGTGACAGCATTCGAATAGGGTTGTTTTTTTTTTTAATGAGTGTTTTACAGAACTGTATTTTTAGCCGTGTTGGCTCACGTTATGTAACCGAGCCGTCTCGTGGGACACTCGAAATAGAACTTGCAGTAGCAGGAGATGACAAAAACTGGTAGAAGCTCTTTGACTGCGAGGGTGATCTAATTGTAGGATGCGGCTCCTGCCACGAAGTGGCTTCCTCCTTCCAGTGAAGCAGGCTGATTCAGGCCCTGCAGTGTTCCCTTGTGCACTTTTATTTATTTTTATTTATTTATTTTTTGAGGCAGAGTCTCACTCTGTTGCCCAGGCTAGAGTGCCGTGGCGTCAGCCTCGCTCACAGCAACCTCAACTCCTGGCTAGCATCCTCTGCCTCAGCCTCCCGAGTAGCTGTGACTACAGGCATGCGCCACCATTGCCCGCCATTTTTCTTTTCTCTCTATATTTTTTAGTTGACCCATTCATTTCTTTCTATTGTTTAGTAGAGACGGGGTCTTGCTCTTGCTCAGGCTGGTCTCGAACTCCTGACCTTTGAGTGATCCTCCCGCCTCGGCCTCCCAGAGTGCTAGGATTACGGCTTTGCATCCTCTTAATAGAAAACCAAGTTCAGGCTGCCACGCCTCCCTGAGAGCGAAGCGTGTCACACGTGTGCGTGTGTTATTTCTCGGACAAGCATCTGGCAAGCGCCTACTGGGCAGCCCGGTGCTTCTCTCGGGTGGGCGGAGTCTGGAGAGAGACACAGGAAAACTGACCACTAGAAAACGGTCCCCCACAGGGGTGACCGGAAGGTGCGGGGCACGGAGAAGGAGGGGTCACCTGGCTTGTTAGGAGGAGGAAGGGGCAGGGGAGACTTTCTAGAAGAGGCCACATCCGAGCCGGCTCCTAAGGTGAAATAGGAGGCGGAGGAGAAGTTTCCAGGCAGAAGAAGCAGGTGCAAGGGCTCGGGGGTCAGGAAACCCGCTCTGTTTAACCCAAATAGAAGATCACAGGGAGGCAGAAAAAGACAAAAATAAAAAAGAATGAAATTTTTAGAAAAAGAATAAAAGAAAGCAAGCCCTGCTCTGACCGGTCGCATCTGGGGCAGGGCATGGAGGGGAGGTTGGGACAGAGGAGGCGGAAGGGTGGTGGGCGGGCACGGCACGAAGCCTGTTGTGGCGTGTCGCGGGCCCGCGGCGCGGTGCAAGAGCCCTGCCCTGTGTCCCCCCAGGGACGCTGGAGCCGCACTGGTCGGGCCTCCTGTGGACCGCCATGCTCATCTCCCTGGCCATCGTCATCGCCCTGCCCAAGCCCCACGGCATCCGGGCCCTGATCGCCTCCACCATCCTCCGGCTCATCTTCTCGGTCGGGCTGCAGCCCACGCTGTTTCTCCTGGGAGCTTTCAACGTAAGTACGGGCGTGCTCCCGCCGCCGACTGCTCTGCACGTGAGAGGCAGTGGCCTCTGCTCGGGTCCCGAGAAGGCTGGCCTCTGCCGCCAGTCCAGGGCGGTGTGGTTGGGGCAGCTGTCAAATTAGCAGAAGCAAGAGATGGTGGCAGGTGGTCACCTCCCCCCATCCCCTGATCTTCTTTTTTTTTTTTTTTTTTTTGAGGAGACAGTCTCGCTCTGTTCCCCAGGCTAGAGTGAGTGCCGTGGCATCAGCCTCACTCAAAGCAACCTCCACCTCCCAGGCTCAAGCAATCCTCCTGCCTCAGCCTCCCGAGTAGCTGGGACTGCAGGCATGCGCCACCATGCCCAGTAATTTTTTTATATGTATTTTAGTTGGCATTATTTCTTCTAATTTATAGTAGAGCGGGCTCGCTTTTGCTTCAGGCGTCTCGATCCTGACTGAGGATCTTCCCGGCTGCCCTCCTCCGGGAGTGCTGGGATGGCAGGCGTGAGCCACCGCGAGCGGCCCCTCCTCATCTTCTCGTGGGGCAGGAGCCTCTCAGTGCTCCCTCCGGCATGGGCGGTCTGGCTGTGGGGAGCAGTGTCTCCCCGAGGGGGCAGGCGGGAGGAGTGGTCGCAGCTGAGTTTTAGGTCGCCGGCCCGGTCAGATGTGAGCCAGCGAGTCGCACGGTGGAATGCGAACACAGCACCCAGCTCTGCGGAGGGCCGCGTGGAAAGAGTGGGGATGAAAGGGACTGTCGGAACACAGGGGAGCAGGTAGGCAGCGAGGGACGAGGAGAATCAAGGACACTCCTTCAAAAGTGGGTGGTGACGTTTGGGGACGCTGTCCCGCTGCTGTTCGAGGACGGAAGCCAAGGGCCTCTGCAGGGCCCTTAGGAGACGGAGCCGGCCGATGCAAGACCGCGGGCGGGAGAGCTCTGCGGGGAAGGGACGGAGAAAATTCGGACACGTTGAGGCACTGGGTGTGGGGGCGGGGGGCGTCTAAAAATGCCTTCCAGAAGTTTCTGCCCTGAGCGCCTAAGGAAGTTGAGGTCTCTGCACAAAAATGGAAGTGATACTGCAAAAAGGGTTAAAATAGCAATTCGGGGCAACAGGAAATGTGCCGCCCTGGGTGTCCAGCGGCGCGGGCTAGCCGGTAGGCCCAGGGTGGGAGGGACGTGGGGGCGTCCGGCCAGAAACCGGGCCCGCGCCGAACCGCCGGGCCGGGGGGAACCGGGGGCCGGCAAAAAGCCAACAAAAAGCCAAGTAACCAAGGAACCGAAGGAAACGGGTTCGCGCAAGTCGCCTGTCGCGCTGAATTTTGGGGGAAAACAGTGGACTTCGCCCCGCGGGCCAGCGCTCCCCGCGTGCGCTGCGGGTCGCGGACGTCACGGGAAGAGAGGGCCGGTGCTGGGCCCGTGTGGGCGGGCGCGGCCCAGCTCAGAGCTGTTGTCGCCGCAGATTCCCCAGAGACCTCAGTGTGCTGGCGCCGAGCCTAGGTCTGCACGGGAGGGAGGCAGCGTCCTCGCGTGGCCCGAACTCACTGGCCCACGGCTTTTTTTTTTTTTTTTTAAGTGTCACTCGAGCTTGGTGTCATATAAAATGTGCTGGGAGACGCTGTCCCCAGCGATGGGGAGCGCCGGGAGAGCTTCGAGACATGGTGCAGACCAAGAAGGATTCCTGGTTTTGTTTTTGTTTTTGTTTGAGACAGAGTCTTGCTTTGTTGCCCAGGCTAGAGTGAGTGCTGTGGCGTCAGCCTCGCTCACAGCAACCTCCAACTCCTGGGCTCAAGCGATCCTCCTGCCTCAGCCTCTCGAGTAGCTGGGACTACAGGCATGTGCCCCCATGCCCGGCTAATTTATTTTTCTATATATATTAGTTGGCCAATTAATTTCTTTCCTATTTGATAGTAGAAACTGGTTCTCGCCTTTATTGCTCAGGCTGTTTCGAACTCCTGGCCTCGAGTGATCCGCCTCGCCTTCGGCCTCCCAGAGTGCTGGGATGACAGGCGTGAGCCACCGCGCCCGGCCAAAAAAGTATTCTTGAGAAAATTCATTCAGCAGTGATGTGTCGTGAGAATCCAGGGGGACGGGCTAGAGACGATAGGGCCATCTCGGGGCTGCGGGGACAGGGGAGAGGCCGTAGGGCCGTCTCGGGGCTGCGGGGACGGGGGAGAGGCCGTAGGGCGTTCGGGCTGTAGGGATGGGGGAGAGGCCGTTAGGCCGTCTCGGGCTGTAGGGGACGGGAGAGGCCGTGAGGCCGTTCGGGGCTGTAGGACGGGGTGGAGGAGCCGTGGGGGCGTCTCGGGGCTGCAAGGGGACGGGGGGAGAGCCGTAGCCGTCTCGGGGCTGCAGGGACGGGGAGAGGCCGTAGGGCCGTTCTCGGGGGCTGGTTAGGACGGGGACGAGGACGTAGGGCGTCTCGGGGCTGCAGGGGACGTGGGGAGAGGCGTAGGGCGTCTCGGGCTGCAGGGGACGGGAGAGGCCGTAGGGCCGTCTCGGGGCGGTAGGGACGGGGGAGAGGCCGTAGGGCCGTCTCGGGGGCTGCGGGGACGGGGGAGAGGCCGTAGGGCCGTCTCGGGGCTGCAGGGGACGGTTGGAGAGGCCGTGAGGGCCGTCTCGGGGTGTAGGGACGGGGAGAGGCCGTGGGTTCTGGCTCGGGGCTGTAAGGGACGGGGAGAGCCGTGGCCGTCTGGGCTGTAGGACGGGGGAGGAGCCGTGGGCGCTCGGGGCTGTTCAGGGACGGGGGAGAGCCGTGGGCCTCTCGTGGCTGTAGGGGACGGCGGGAGGCCGTGGGCCGGTCTCGGGGCTGTAGGACGAGGGTGAGAGGCGTGGGCGTCTCGGGTGTAGGACGGGGAGAGGCCGTGGGCCCGTCTCGGGGCTGCAGGACGGGGTGAAGGGCCGGGCCGTCTCGGGGCTGCCAGCGCACGAGGAGGGGAGGCCGTGGGGCCGTCTCGGGGCTGCAGGGACGGAGGAGGCCGTGAGGGCCTCTCGGGGGCTGCAGGGGGAGTGAGAGCCTCAGCCTCTTCGGGCTGCAGGGACGGGGAGAGGCGTAAGCGGCCGTCTCGGGGCTCGCAGGTGACGGGGGACGAGTCCGACTAGGGCACGTCTCGGGGTGCAGGGGACGGGGGGAGAGGCCGTAGGGCCCGTCTCGGGGGCTGAGGGACGGGGGAGAGGCCGGTAGGCCGTCTCGGGGCTGTAGGGACGGGGGAGACGCCGTGGGCCGCTCGATGGCTGTAGGGACGGGAGAGGCGTTAGGCCGTTCGGGCTGGTGACGACGGGGGGAGGCCGCTCAGGCCGTCTCGGCTGTGATGGACGGGGGAGGCCGTGGGGCCGTCTCGGGGGCCGTGTAGGGGCGGAGGGAGAGGCCGTGGTGGGCCGTCTCGGGGCCTGCAGGGGACGGGGGGAGAGGGCCTGTAGGGCCCGTCTCCGGGCTCGCAGGACGGGGAGAGGCCGTAGGCCTGTCTCGGGCTGTAAGGGACGGGAGGAGGCCGTAGTGCCGTCTCGGGGCTGTAGGAACGGGGGAAGGCGCGCCGGTGCCGTCTCGGGCTGTAGGGTGGCGGAGAGGCGTGGCCGTTCTCGGGGTGCAGGGGACGGGGGGAGAGGCCGTAGGGCCGTCTCGGGGCTGCGGGGACGGGGAGAGGCCGTAGGGCCGTCTCGGGGCTGCGGGGACGGGGGAGAGGCCGTAGGGCCGTCTCGGGGCTGCGGGGACGGGGGAGAGGCCGTAGGGCCGTCTCGGGGCTGCAGCGGTGCTTTGGCCTGTGACGAGCCTGAGTGGTGGCCATGCTGTAGAAGGAAGGAGGAGGGCACAGACCTCAGAGGTGCAAAGGAAATCGTGACGCAGGGACGCTAGTAAGAGCCGTGGACTCGAGGTCCTTCAGGCCGAGAAGGGACCCCTGGCTGGCTCAGGTGGTGGAAGCATCAGACCCAGCCAGAAGAGGCCCGCGGCCACCTGAAGCGAAGTCACCCACAGACCCGGTGTTCAGGGAGAAAACACGATTAACTTGTTGGCACCACGGGCTCGAGGCGGTAAGACGCGCTGCCAGCGTGGGCTCTGGCCATTGGAAATGCGGGGCCAGGATGACAAAGGGACACCAGCGTGGGGAGGGAATGTCAGTGTGGCCTGCAGCGAGAGGAAGCGGTTCAAGAAGGAAATACAGCCGGGCGCGGTGGCCCATGCCTGTCATCCTAGCACTCTGGGAGGCCGAGGCGGGCGAATCACTCGAGGTCAGGAGTTCAAAACCAGCCTGAGCAAGAGCGAGACCCCGTCTCTACTAAAAATAGAAAGAAATTAATTGGCCAACTAATATTAATATAAATATAAATAAATATATATATATACACACACACACCTGAGCTGGGGCATGGTGGCGCAGCGTGCATCCAGGTGTAGCGGGTGGCTCGTTGTCAAGACCGCAGGAGCTGGCCGGACTGGGGGAGGCATGGAGAAGACAGAAGGTAGAGGAAAAAAAAAAACAGGGAGGTTGGGCGTGGCTGGCTCACGCCTGTCATCCTAGCACTCTGGGAGGCCGAGGCGGCGGATCGCTCAAGGTCAGGAGTTCGAGACCAGCCTGAGCAAGAGCGATACCCCACCTCTACTGAAAATAGAAAGAAATTAATTGGCCAACTAAAAAATATATAGAAAAGAAAAATTGGCCAGGCATGGTGGCACACACCTGCAGTCCCAGCTACTCGGGAGGCTGAGGCAGGAGGATTGCTTGAGCCCAGGAGTTGAGGTCTGCTGTGAGCTAGGCTGATGCCACGGCACTCACTCTAGCCTGGAGGCAACAGAGTGGAACCCTGTCTCAAAAAAAAAAAAAAAGACTGCAGGAGCCTGTGCACATTGGAGGTCCGGTGACATCCACCAGGGTGTCCTTGTCCCCTCCCGCCCTCCTCTGCACCCCGTCACCCGTCAGGCTCGGGTCACCCAGAGCCCGCGATCCTGTCCTCCACCAGGGAAGAGCCCGCGCCAACGGAGTGTCCTCGTCCCCTCCCGCCCTCCTCTGCACCCCCCAGTCCCGTCAGCTCGGGTCACCCAGAGCCCGCGATCCTGTCCTCCACCAGGGAAGAGCCCGCCAACGGAGTGTCCTCGTCCCCTCCCGCCCTCCTCTGCACCCCCCAGTCCCCGTCAGCTCGGGTCACCCAGAGCCCGCGATCCTGTCCTCCACCAGGGAAGAGCCCGCGCCAGCAGAGGCTCCAGTGTCGGGGAGGAAGACACGGGCGGACTGCAGGTGTAGCCGGTCTGCGAAAGCCAGACGTTCTCTGTGGGTGTCGCCTTCCTCGCTTATCTGATTGCCGAGAAGCTCGGTGACACCGGCCGGCCAGATTAACTGGCAGGATTTCCCGGCGCCGGTGGCCACAAGCGCGCCAGGGCGGCGGAGGACGGCCTCGCCGGGCACTTCCGAACACCGTTCTCGCCAGCTTTCTCCCGAGACATGTTGGTAGAGCAGGCACTTTTTCTTCTTTTCTTTTTTTTAGAGACAGAGTCTCTAGGGCGCCCGGCCCTAGAGAGGGATTTCTAGGCATGGGGCTTCTATCACAGTTGGGACTAGACTGTGCAGTAGATCACTTAGGACTCCTTCAGTTAGGGTGTCGGAAAACCTATTCCATGCTAGTCTAAGCAAAGGAGGAAAATCTATCGGTTCATTTTAACCAAGAAGCCAAGAGCCTAGCTTCAGGCCCAGCTGAGAACGGGGGCCTTCAGGGCAGAGTTCCCCTTCTGGTGGCGTTCTCGGGTTAGTGGTGTGGCAGCTTCAGAGCTTACAGCCTTTTGGGGTTCAAGGTCAGCGGGAAGGAACAAAACGGTCTTTCGCTGCGATCCCAGGGAAAGAGCTCCGTGGCTGTCATTGGTCCGTTTGGTCCTGTGGCTACCCATGAACCAGCCATCGTAGCCAGGAAAATACTGTACTTGGCCAGGTTGAAACCCCCCCAGACCTCAAGTTACAGGTGCTCAAAGAGGCATGGATTCCCCAGAGGAAAACTGGAAGTGGTTCCCAGAAGAGAAGGCAGGGAGAGAGAACTCACGCTCAGGTCTTTACGTGTGGCTCCTCGCTCCCAGGAGAATTCTCGTTGTCCCTGTGAACTTGGGGACAACGGAAGACTGGCTGCCTCTGGTTAAACTGTAACCCCGTCGTGCCTAGAATACAGCAAACTCAGATCACGGGGTCCGTGGATGGAGGTGACATTCTGTGTTGGACTAGCCCGTGCAAGAATGTGGGTCAGAGATGACTCGCATCTCGTTTCGAAACCCGTGATCTCGGTGTGTGCTGATTTCCTTCTCGCCCCGTGGAAGTGCCGCGCTCACTGTTGCACGGAGTCATCCGACTGCCGTGCCGTCTGCGAGCTGCCCGGGAAGCAACGTGGCGACGTGACTTAGAGCCGCACGGGCTCTTGCAGGGCGGGTGGGCGCTGGCGCGCTGGGGACGGGCACCGGGGCTCCTGCGTGTGGTGCTCCCCGGGCTCTCGGTCCCAGCCGCCTGCCCGGTCCTGTCGTCGTTTCAGGTCTGCAACAAAATCATCTTTCTGATGAGCTTCGTGGGCAACTGCGGCACGTTCACCAGGGGCTACCGGGCCATGGTTCTGGACGTGGAGTTCCTCTACCACCTGCTGTACCTGCTCATCTGCGCCATGGGGCTGTTCGTGCACGAGTTCTTCTACAGCCTGCTGGTGAGTGCCCCGCGCCCACGCGCTTTATGTATGGAAACTGGGACGGCGTCCTGTGCCCCCGCTCTCATCTCAGACCCTTCCTGTTTGTTTTTTTTAATTTCAGCATATTATGGGGGTACAAATGTTTAGGTTACGTGTGTTGCCTTCCCCCCCCCCAGAGTCAGAGCTTCGAGCGTGTCCATCCCCCAGATGGTGCACATTGCACTCATTATGTACGTATATCCAGGCGTCCTCAAACTACAGCCCGAGGGCCACGTGCCGCCCGCCGAGCACATTTATCCGGCCCACGGGGTGCTTTTGCCACCGCTGCCTGTCCTGCTCAGCAGCCGACTCGTCCCGGGCCCACAGTGCGCACTCCCCAACGGTCTGAGGGACAGTGGACTGGCCCCCTGTTGAAAAAGTTTGAGGATGCCTGGTATATACCCATCCCCTCCTCCCCCCTCCCACCTGCCCGACACCCGATGAATGTTACTCCTATATGTCCACTTAGGTGCTGATCTGTTAATACCAATTTGCTGGTGAGTACACGTGGTGCTTGTTTTTCCATTCTTAGAATACTTCACTTAGTAGAATGGGCTCCAGCTCTATCCAGGAATATATAAGAGGTGCTGCATCACCATTGTTTCTTAAAGCTGAGTAGTACTCCATGGTGTACGTATACCACATTTTATTAATCCACTCATGTATTGATGGGCACTTGGGTTGTTTCCACATCTTTGCAATTCTGAATTGTGCTGCTATAAACATTCAAGTGCAGGTGTCTTTTTTATAGAATGTCTTTTGTTCTTTTGGGTGGATGCCCAGTAGTGGGATTGCTGGATCAAATGGTAGATCCACTTGTATCGCTTTGAGGTATCTCCATGTTGCTTTCCACAGAGGTTGCACTGGTTTGCAGTCCCACCAGCAGTGTAGGAGTGTTCCTGTCTCTCCACATCCACGCCAGCATCTATTGTTTTGGGACTTTTTGATAAAGGCCATTCTCACTGGGGATAAGTGATATCTCACTGTGGTTTTGATTCGCATTTCCCTGACGATGAGAGATGTTGGGCATTTTTTCATACGTTTATTGGCCATTAGTCTGACAGACCCTTCCATTTTAATGGCATTGTCACGCCTTGGCCAGCCAGGTGGAAGACCCCCTGTATTCAGTCTTTGGGGCATCTGAGATTAGAGCTGCATGGAACACAGATCAGCTCGCAGGAACCCAGAAGGTTCTTCCTTCTCAGCAGTGGAAGATGCCAACGGTCTGGTTCAGGAGGTGTTTCTCCTCCATGCGCCTTTCTTTTTCCTTCCTTCTTGGACTCAGCCAGCAGTAGCCAAGGGGCATGTTTCTGAGACTGTCATCTGACAGTCCTCATGGCATCCACTTCTCACGTAGTGACCACAAGAGCACGAGCTACTCTCAAAGCCCCAAGATTCATGACAACGAACTCCATGGAGTGATGGGTCCAGGACCTTTTCAGTAGAAGTTACTTTGTTCCACCGTGAGCCCAGCGCTTAATATCCTGACGTTCTACGAAATGAGTTAATTTCATCACCTTCTTCACGAGCAGGTTTTAAAAGTATATTAATAGGTTAAAAAAAAACAAAACAAAACAAAACTGCTCGCGCCCCTATAGTTAGAAGGAATCTAGACCCGTGGAGTTGTAGATAAGAAACCATCTCCTTGTACCTACTTAAAATGACAGGAAGCATGAAACTGAGCGATCTGCAAGCAAAACCATAAAGAGACGAGAGATATCAAAATGTTTGTGAGGATAAAACAGATCGAGGCTTAAGTGTTGGCTTAGCAAGAGGGATGGACTCAGAAAAGGCAGAACATGGAAAGCTTTCCAGGGAGGTGCTATTCGTGTAGTTGCTGGGCTGGTTACTTAACTGCTCTGTGCCTCAGTTTCCCCATTTACAAAATGAGACCAGTGTATCTCCCTCGAAGGGCTGTTGGAGAGATTAGAGGCGGCAGCTGTGTATGTCAAGGTCTTAGACTAGCACTGCCACACGATGGCTGGCCATCAGCGTCTTTGCCATGCCTTCTCCCAGTCAGAGCACCGTAAAGAATTCACCATTCAGGCCGGGTGGGGTGGCTCACGCCTGTCATCCCAGCACTCTGGGAGGCCGAGGCGGGCGGATAGCTCGAGGCCAGGAGTTCGAGATCAGCCTGAGCAAGAGCGAGACCCCGTCTGTACTAAAAAATAGAAAGAAATAATTGGCCGACTAAAAATAGATAGGAAAAATGAGCCAGGTATGGTGGCACATGCCTGTAGTCCCAGCTACTCGGGAGGCTGAGGCAGGAGGATCGCTTGAGCCCAGGAGTTTGAGGTTGCTGTGAGCGAGGCTGACGCCACGGCACTCACTCTAGCCTGGGCAACAAAGTGAGACTCTGTCTCAAAAAAAAAAAAAAGAATTTACCATTCAGATCCCTCGTCTTAAAATAGGTCTGGCTGTATTTTGAGGTTTCAGGCAAAGAGGTCTCTGGTTGTACTTGTGATTGTCATCACGTGGCCTGCTATGGCCACTCTGTGTCGGCAATCATTAGAGCCCTGTGTCTGTTTGGGGCCTTTTTGTGCCGTGCAGTAGTGTCCCTGGGTGAGGCTCCGGGTTTGTGAGTCAGGGGACCCAGGCCTGCGCGCCGCTCGAGTGCCTCCCCCGCCGGGCAGGGAGGCAGGTTCCAGTGGCTGGTCTCTCGTGCCCGCTGAGGGGTCTCTCCCCTTCGGACGGTCCGTCTCTGCCTGGTAGGGGGTCCCACGGCTCCTGCCATTAGGTGACCTGCTGCTGGCGTCATTTCCCTTTCTGTGCCCTTGCGTCCTTTCAGTCCTCTGCAGTGCCAGCCCGTGGCAGGTGCGGGGGCTGCGGTGGTGAGGCGGACCCGGCCCCCGCCCCCGCTGGCCTCACCTTGCCGTGGCCGCCACCGCCCCGTATCGAGTGTCCCTGTGTCCTCCCTGCCTCCTCTGAGGCAGATGGCCCTTCACGGTGCACCCGAGCACACCGGCTCGGCCAGGCTTGGTGACCTGCCCAGGGTCACAGCCAGTGAGTGTGGAGGCAGGAGACCCGCTCCACACTGCGGGCTCCCAAGTCTCCATGGCCTTTCATCTGAGCACGGGGGAGAAAAAGTCCCTGGGCCAGTGAAACTGGTTTGTCCCATTGCACTTTGCACCTGTGCTTTCGAATCTCTAAGCCAGGCGCCCCCCCTCCCCCAGACATGTATCCGGCCCGCTGCTGGTGTTTTTGCCGCCACTGCCTGTCCTGCTCAGCAGCCGACCCGTCCCGGGCCCGCAGTGCACGCTCTCCAACGGGCTGAGGGACAGTGGACTGGCCCCCTGTTGATAAAGTTTGAGGACCCCTGCAGTCTAAGCTGTCACAGGAAGAGTGACTCAAGCTTCTGATGGTGTCACCGCGCTCAGCGCGTTTTGAGAAGAACATGGCAGGGTCCAGCTGGACCGTGGCTGGCGCCGCACCTGTGTGCTGGGGTGGGAGGGGGGTTCTAGTCCGTCTGTACCGGACTTGTCCGGGGCTCCGAGTGATGCGCTCCTTTGGTGTCAAAAGCAGCAGCGTCGAATGAATCCGCCTGGCGAGGACCACAGACAGAATACGGAAACTGCTCGAATCGTTCCACTAACGAGGAAAACCTGCAACCGAGAGGAATCGCGCAGCCCGAAAGAGGAGAGCGAGCGCCAGCAGGGAGCCCGTGCCCGCTGGGCCGCGCACTCCTCCACGCCAGCCGGCCCGAGGGAGGGCGGGAGATCTGGTGGCCTCGTGAAAGGGCTGTCCCCGTCCCCCAAGGACTGGCTGGGCCCGGTCTCGAGCCTGCATTAAAGCCGTGTCCTTAGAAAAATATTAACACGACATGAAATGCGCAAAGTGCATAAGCAGGCAGGTAACAAAAGGAGAGAGATCCGGATGGCCGGCAAACGTTTCCATTTCCAGAAACTCGCCAGAAAGAAAGAACTGGACAGGCGTGTGCAGAGACACGCACAGAGGCGCGCATCAAAGCGTCATTTATAATGACATATACCTGAAAGCATCTTGTGACTGTTTTTTAAAAAAATTAAAGATATTGGCTATGTAGCTGTGTTTTTCCATACAATGAAATCCTAGGTGATCATATTTTTGTCAGAAAAATGATCGTGAAACAGGCTGGCTACATGCCAGTATTTGTGTGTACGCATACACATTTTTGTAGAAATGTGGGTATATATATCACATTTTTTTAAAGGCCAGCAGGAGGTAACTTAGTGAGTGGATCTGTGCAGATGGGATGGAATTATCAAGTGAATTTTTTTCCTTTGTGCTTTTCTGTGTTTTCCAGGTTTTCTCTGTTGAACGTGTGTAATTTTCTGATTAGAGGAAAACTTTGCCTTTTTTTAATAAATAATACATGCTTATTGTTTTAAAATCAGAAGTTATAAATAAGTGGAAAAAAAATTGCTTGTCATTTAAGCCACGTGGGGCTACAGAATCGCCGGGGTTTTAACCACAGAGAACAGGGACCCTTCGTCTGTTGCCTGCAGTTGCTCTCACTTGCCACCGCATGTTGAGTTGCTGGAAAATATTTAACCGGCATTCAGGCAACACCTAGCCTCTCGTACTCCTGCGTTCGCTAAGTGCCTCTCTCCTGCTTCCTTTTAAGTCCCCTCCTCCACCCGGGCCGGCCGGCGCTAGGCTCAGAACACACATGGCTGTCAGGGAGGCAGAAATGCTAATGGACCCGAAAGAGACCACAGATACCAAATTCCAGGCGGAAGGGACTTGGAGGTCAGCTAGTGCCTGCAGCCCAGTTATTTATACAGACGCGGAAACTGGTCCGGAGAGGCTAGATGGCCCCATCACCGTCTTGCAGCAAATTCAAAGCGGAGTCAGGACTTGGTCCCTTGTCCCCTGGGCTCACTTCGCCGTGCACAGTCACACCCCAGAGCCTCGGTGGGAGACCAGACCTTCAGGACAGGATGCAATGTCAGCACCGAGGCCGTGCTGGAACCTAGGCTCCAGGTCCAAGAGCAGCCCCGCTCTCCCCCCCAGCCAAATAGCTGCCATCGTAGCTCTTGGGAAACGAGCCATCGTCCTGCCATCCCTGTGTGTGCCTTCCAGGATCCTTGGTTTCTCGGGAAGCCACCTTCCCGCCGTGGCCAAGGGCAGGCTTAGACTGTGCACATGCTGCGAATGGCAGGGGTCTCCCCTTGCTAGGGGAGGGATATAAGGGCTTAGGCTTTTGCCGTGTTACTGCTGCCACAGTCCCGGGGGTGTACTAGCCCGTGACCTTGCTCTAGTCCCTCCAGCAAGGAAATTAATGATGATAACCTTTCGTTGCATCGACTCAGCGTGCATGGACGCCCGCACGCCAAGCACCGGGGTGCACTGTTTGTTCTGCACGAGAACTCTGCGTCTTCCCGTCTGCAAGTGACGTCATTGAGGCTCAAGAGGGACAGGGCAAAGTCCCTAGCCCAAGGTCACGGTGGCAGTCAGTAGTGGAGCTATGATGCAAGCCCATGCCAGTCCAGGGGCCTTGGCACTTACGCTGGCTTAGGGTACGTCTGTATTCCCATCGGCTCCAAGAGGGCAAGGACCTGCGTGACTGCCCCCCACGGCAACTCAGTAAATACTTCCGGAATCGATGGATGCCAAGACCTGCCTCGCTGTCCTCTCTCTTTCTCTCTGAATCTCTTTGGTGCAGCCGTGTATATTCTCTATTCCTGGGACCTCCGAGCAGCTCTGTGTGCCACTTAGAATTGCTACTGTCCCCGCCTCCCTCTCCCACGTTTATTTTTCCCCATTTCCATCTCGGTTTTCACTGTTAAGACAGGCAAGATGTTCAGTGTCAAGGTTATGGTATAAGCCTTTGAATTTCCAGCAGCGTGACCACTCCATAAACCAAGTTTTTGTTATGGGATATTAATGTGCATCGCACATAGAGGCTCCTTAAAAATTACCCTGTCGTCTTCTTTTTGTTTTTTTAAAGCTTTTTGATTTAGTGTACAGAGAAGAGACTCTGCTCAACGTCATCAAAAGCGTCACCCGCAACGGAAGGTCCATCATCTTGACGGCCGTCCTGGCTCTGATCCTGGTGTACCTGTTCTCCATAGTGGGCTATCTCTTCTTCAAGGATGACTTCATCTTGGAAGTCGACAGGCTGCCCAACGAGACCGCGGTTCCAGGTGGGTGTGCGGTCTTCCCATCTTTTTTTCATGTTAAAAGGGTATTTCCTGATCATCCCCGAACGAAAGAAAAGGACGGCTTTAGCAATATGGGTATCTCTGCGAAGACTGCGAATTCCGAATACAAGGGATGGTTCTCGCTTTATTCAAAGGGCGTTGTGGTATGTCACATGCTCCCGGTGAGTGGCCAGATCTTATGTTTAGTTTATTTACTAACATGATATTTTAAACTAGTACAAGTTTTCATAATATGCTAAAATAAAATAAACTAGTACAAGTTTTTCAGTAAAACTTAGCGTTTTATGTGTATTGAAAGCATTGGTATATGCAAGCCCATTGACTTAGTGAATCTACTTCTAGGAATTTATACTTAAAGAAAAAAACCTGACTATGCATGTAAAAAAAAGACACATACGGGAGATTATTCACTGTGGTGTGAAACTGGAAGCTACCTAAATGTAAGGGGGTGTTTCGCTAGACCGTGGTGTATCCACGGGGTGGAGTCTCCTATACATCACTGCATCTTTAGAAACCTTCATGGGAAAACACCCACAAGATACAGTGTGGGAAATGACAGTAGGAGCACATGTATATTTTTTAATTAAAAAGCTTATATAGGCCGGGCGCGGTGGCTCACGCCTATAATCCTAGCACTCTGGGAGGCCGAGGTTAGAGGATCACTTGAGGTCAGGAGTTCGAGACCAGCCTGAGCAAGAGTGAGACCCCGTCTCTACTAAAAAATAGAAAGAACTTAATTGGCCAACTAAAAATATATGCAGAAAAAAATTAGCCGGGCATGGTGGCGCATGCCTGTAGTCTCAGCTACTCAGGAGGCTGAGGCAGGAGGATGGCCTGAGCCCAGGAGTTGGAGGTTGCTGCAAGCTAGGCTGATGCCACGGCACTCCAGCCAGGGCAACAGAGTGAGACTCTGTCTCAAAAAAAAAAAAAAAAAATATATATATATATATATATATATATATATACACACACACACATGTGTGTGTATGTATATATATATATATATAAAATAGATGAATATACTCCCAGACTGCCACCTCTGGGTTTGTTTGTTTGTTTGTTTTTCTTTAACTATATGCAGGTTTGACAGTGAGCTTGTGTCACTTTTACATAGAGCAGGAACAAAAGAGATTTCCAACTTTGAGAATGAAAAAAAAATGACCCCGTACGTGCGTGACTCCCAGGCACGTTTTCCTCTCAGTGGCAGCGGCTGGCCCTTGGCAGAATGTCACTGGCTTCCACCGGGCAGCCAGGCCCGGCACCCTGCGTCTAGGGAGCAGGCCAGAATCGCGGTGACCGACTGGGCCGGAGCGGCCTCTGCTCTCTCCTCTCCGGGCCTGTGCTCTTGGCGTGTCGCTGCAGCCTCGGGCCGGGCGGCCATCTAGGGTCCGCACGCCGGGACCAGCGCTTGGATTTCCGCCCGAGCCCGCCGGGGCGGCTCGCGCAGACCCGGACAGGTCTCTCCGAGTCCGTGCTCAGTGGCAGCGGTGGCTCCGTCTCGGCGGTTTGTCTTTGAAGTCGGAGAGGTGCCGTTGACGTGTGGCATTCCTAGTGAGCCCGCAGGAACTGACACTTTTGGCTTTTTCCCATCCAGACCACCAAAGGAAAGTGTAAATCGCATCTCTGCTTTGAGGGCGCGTGCAGGCTTGCGGGCTTGTAGGGTGGTGTTGGTGTAAAGAGCCGTTGAATCAGCCGTGACTCGGGCCGTCCAGCACTGTAACCGCGCTGCCAGAGCGCGCCTCACTGATGCCTTCTTTACCCCAGAAGCCGGCGAGAGTTTGGCCAACGAGCTGCTGTTCTCGGACGTGTGCCGGGTGGAGACCGGGGAGAACTGTTCCTCTCCTGCACCCAGAGAAGGTAGGACCCGGGGCCGTCACCTGCAGCCCGCGGGACACTCCTCCAGGGGCTTAGAATTCAGGGGTCCTCGAACTATGGCTGCCCGAGGGCCACGTGCGGCCCCCGAGGACGTTGATCCCGCCAGGCTGGTGTTTTTGCGGCAGCTGCCTGTCCTGCTCAGCGGCCGCTGCCTGTCCTGCTCAGCGGCCGCTGCCTGTCCTGCTCAGCGGCCGCTGCCTGTCCTGCTCAGCGGCCGGCGCGTCCTGGGCCCACGGTGCGCACTCTCCAACGGTCTGAGGGACAGTGACCTGGCCCCTTATTTATAAAGTTTGAGGACCCCTGCTCTAGATGACGCCAGTGATGTTGGGGCGGATGAGAGCACATTTCCTGTAGCCCAGGGGAAAGGCTGGGGAGGGAGAAAGGGAAAAGGAGGCTACGCAGGAAGAAGATACCCGATTAGCATCAACCCCTTTTTGCCGCCTGCCGGCTGTCTGCCAGGGACTGAGCTGTGCCCTTCAGGGACAGCAATGCAGTGCGGGAGGCAAGCAGGCCACACAGATAGGCGACTGCTAGAAAGTATGCAAAATGGGCTGGGCACGGTGGCTCACGCCTGTAATCCTAGCACTCTGGGAGGCCGAGGCGGGAGGATTGCTCGAGGTCAGGAGTTCGAGACCAGCCTGAGCAAGAGCGAGACCCCGTCTCTACTAAAAAATAGAAAGAAATTAATTGGCCAACTAATATATATTGAAAAACTTTGCCAGGCATGGTGGCGCATGCCTGTAGTCCCAAATACTCGGGAGGCTGAGGCAGGAGGATCGTTTGAGCCCAGGAGTTGGAGGTTACTGTGAGCTAGGCTGACGCCACGGCACTCTAGTCCGGGCAACAGAGTGAGACTCAGTCCCCACCCCCCTCCCCCTCTCCCCCCCCCAAAAAAGAAAGTATGCAAATGCTGGGAACGAGGATGGGATAAGGAGACAGGCGCCCAGCCTGATACTTGGGTGAGTATCATTGAGAAAGCGATATGTAAACTGAAACAGAGGACTCCTGGGCGAAGGAGGAGAGGAGTTAGGTATTCCTGGTGGAGGAAATAGCACATCTAAAGGCTCAAAGGTTAGGAAAAAAGCAAGTTTGGGAGATAATGATTAGGAAGGAGAGTAGTTAAGAAATGAAGCCAGAAGGAAAAGCAAAGGGTTAGATCACGAAGGGTCTTACGTGTCAGACCGAGGAGGTTAAACTTCATTGAAAGGACAGTTGGGGGTTGCTGAAAGGGGAGTGATAAGATGAGACCTGCGTCTTAGCAAGGCCATCGTCACTGCTGCAGCTGGAGGAAGGAGCAAGGTGGCCAGCAGGGCACGGCTCTTCCTCCAAACCCAGTAAGCACGAGCCGCCTCCAAGGTCAAGCAGTCTGTCCGGAGGGCGCGCCGTGAAACCTGCCGCCAGTCTGGACTCAGTCCTCACAGCACGCGTGCGGGACCGAGCCCGGCAGCCTTGTCCTCACCTCGGGGACAGCACGCCTGTGGCTCAGGGTGGCTGAGTGCCCTGTGTGACGTTACGACTGTCCCCAGCCGGGACGGGAGTCTAGAAGCCTGCGAGGGGGAGGGGAGGAGGGCGTGTTGGACGTCACGGGACGGCGACACTGCCTGGCTTGAGGAACCCGCAGGGGCTGGCGATGGACCCGGAGTGGCGGGGGACTTGAGCAAGTTGGAGCCGCACTCTGGATTTTTTTTTTTTTTTTTTTTTTTTTGAGACAGAGTCTCACTCTGTTGCCCAGGCTAGAGTGAGTGCCGTGGTGTCAGCCTCGCTCACAGCAACCTCCAACTCCTGGGCTCAAGCGATCCTCCTGCCTCAGCCTCCCGAGTAGCTGGGACTACAGGCATGCGCCACCACGCCTGGCTAATTTTTTGTATATATATTTTTAGTTGGCCAATTAATTTCTTTGTATTTATAATAGAGACGGGGTCTCGCTCTTGCTCAGGCTGGTTTCGAACTCCTGGCCTCGAGCGATCCTCCCTCCCCGGCCTCCCAGAGTGCTGGGATAACAGGCGTGAGCCACTGCGCCCGGCCCGGACTCTGGTTTTCACGCTTTCTCGAAAGTGCCTGTAGGCCAGAGGGTGGCATCCAGGAAATGCAGTCTCAGGAGTGACGCGTCCCCTTTCTCCCTCCCGTCTTCCCGCGCTGCGCGCCCGCAGAGCTGGCCCCGGTGGAGGAGACGGAGCAGGACAAGGAGCACACGTGCGAGACGCTGCTCATGTGCATCGTCACCGTGCTGAGCCACGGGCTGCGCAGCGGGGGCGGCGTGGGCGACGTGCTCCGGAAGCCGTCCAAAGAGGTAAACTGATCCCGGGCGGGGGGGCGGGGCGAGAGCTCAACGCAGCCGCCGTGTTGAGTTGTAAACCGAAGACGCAGGGGAAGAGCCGGGGCGGGCTGCGTGGAACCGGCTCGTCCAGGCTTCCTGCCTGTCACTGTCATCGCCATTGTCACCGCGTTCTCCTGGCGCCCCAGCGAGACCGGCTGCCTGCACGTCCAGCAGGCTTGGGGATGGGGGAGGGAGGGGGTCTGTCCCACCCGGACGCCCGCCCCAAACCCCTCCTGGGTGTGTCCCACAAGACTTGGAGAGGCCGGGCTCAGTGGCTCACACCTGTCGTCCCAGCACTATGGGAGGCCGAGGCAGGAGGATCGCTCGAGGCCAGGAGTTCGAGACCAGCCTGAGCAAGAGCGAGACCCCGTCTCTACTACAAATAGAAATTAATTATATATAATTACTAATATATATAGAAACTAATATATACAGAAACCAAGTAATATATACAGAAAAAAATAGCCAGGCATGGTGGCGCATGCCTGCAGTCCCAGCTACTCGGGAGGCTGAGGCAGGAGGATCGCTTGAGCCCAGGAGTGTGAGGCTGCTGTGAGCGAGGCTGACACCACGGCACTCACTGGAGCCCGGGCAGCAAAGCGAGACTCTGTCTCAAAAGAAGAAAAAGAAAGACTCAGAGAAGTCAGGTCCCAGCACGGGGCTGCTGAGAGGCGCGGTCGTGGGGTTCAGCACCCCCCGCCCTTGATAGACGCGGGGCTCGCTGAGCCGGCCGGCCCTGCGCACCGAAGGGCGGCGAGAGCATCGGGCTGACCCGGCCCGCCCCTCTTCTCCAGGAGCCCCTCTTCGCTGCCAGGGTGATCTACGACCTCCTGTTCTTCTTTATGGTCATCATCATCGTGCTGAACCTCATCTTCGGGGTGATCATCGACACGTTCGCCGACCTGCGGAGCGAGAAGCAGAAGAAGGAGGAGATCCTGAAGACCACGTGCTTCATCTGCGGTGGGTGTCGCGCCGGCTTCGGCCGGGGCAGGGCCGGGCAGGGCAGGGCAGGGCCGGGGCAGGGCCGGGCAGGGCCGGGGCAGGGCCGGGGCAGGGCAGGGCAGGGCCGGGGCCGGGGCCGGGGC